CCACCCAGATGTAGGAGCAGCGGTCCTCCGCCGCAGCCACCGCGGGGTCGGCCGCATCGGTGGCCTCTTGGCGCGCGTGTGCGCGGCTCGCGCCCAGCCCGAGGGCGTTCCAGTAGGCCGCGCTCAGGTCCGCCGTCGCGCCAGCGGCACGCTGGGGGCGCGCTGGGATGCTTGGAGATTCGTCTGTTATTTCTCGGCAACAGCCCAGGTTATCCTCGGCGGCGAGCCCGGAGGGAATGAGAAGGGGCGGGCCTTCCCAGAAGGCTCGGAGGTCCCCAAGCCTTCTGAAAGGTTGTCTAAGCCTTCCCCACGGACACAGAAAATTTCTCAGAAGGCGCGAGGGCGTCTGAGAAGTCCCGCCGCCTTCTGAGAAGGCCTTCTCCTTCCCATTTCCCCCCCTCGCTCGCCGCCGATATCCAGTGGAAGGGGAGGGAGGTGCTCGCCGACAACCTGACCTTCTCGCTCTGGACAGCCCCCCGTGTGCCCGTGCGCACCCATACCCCCCGTGGACCTGCGCAACCGACCGGGTCAGGTTATCCGAAGGGGCATGGGGCGGGCGGGCCCGAGAACCCGGGCGATCGCCAGAGACTTCAAAAAAACAGTGTCTCTCTTGTCCGCTGTCTGGGTACTGGGTAGGGTTTCTGCAGTGCGTCCGAGACCCGATCACGACCCCCCCCTCGCCGCGACCATCCTATCAGCAACGTCGTGCCCGAGCCCCCTGTTCACCGAGCAGGGTCGTCCCCCGAGGCCCGCCTTCGGGCCCTGGGGCCATCACCGAGAAACAGCGACGGGAGGTTCCCCGAGCCCCTGGGGCTTTCTCGCCGTGTTGGCTGGGAGGGCGCCCCTGGTACTGCTGCCCAGCGCTCGTTTCGGCCTGCAGCCGGCTCCCACAGGAGCCCAAGGATGCCCCAAGACGGCCGCAAGACGGCCAGAGACCATCCTAAGACGGCCCAGCAAGCCTTCGAACGGGCCAAGATCATCCCAAGAGGCCTCGAGAAGCTTTCCGGGGATTCTGACAGAGGCTTCCAGCGAGGCCGGAGGAGGCGAGAAGCTTTGAATAACATAGGCAAGTCAGTGTTTGTCGATTGCAATGTTTTTGGTGTTGGGTCCACGTTTTGAAGAGACGGCGCCCCGCGTCCCATCTCCTCCTACTCCTCCTCCTCCTCCTCCTCCTCCTCCTCCTCCTCCTCCTCCTCCTCCTCCTCCTCCTCCTCCTCCTCCTCCATTATTTTTCCTTCTAACTAATTTCTCCCTGTCGCACCCCGAGGCCAGTTTTTAGGGCGGGCCAGGCGTTTCGCCTGAGACTTCCACACCATGTATGACCCTGAAGCTTCAAGATTGACAACAGCTTCACAGATGGAGGGCGGGTCGTTTTCAAAATGTGGTCTCGCCTTAACGCCGCGCACATTCGTTCTAAAAATTGCAGGAGCTTCACAAATTGAGGGCAAGTGGTTTTCAAAATGTGGTTCTCGCCTTGTCGCCGCGCACATTCGTTTAAAAATGCAACAGTTTCACGAATTGAGGGCGGGTCGTTTTCAAAATGCGGCTCTCGCCCTAGCGCCGCGCACATTCGTTTTTGAAATTGCAAGAGCTTCACGGATTGAGGGCGGGTGGTTTTCAAAATGTGGTTCTCGCCTTAGCGCCGCGTGCATTCATTGTTTTAAACGTGCAAGGGTTTCACGGATTCCCATGATCAACGTACCAGAATGGTGTTTTGAAAGGAATCAAGATTATGCGGGCGCAACAGTTACGTTGATTCGCGGTGTTGAAGTCCCAAGAATGGCGTCCTGGCACGATTCAGGATCGTCAAGACGCAAGAGTCCCGTTGATCCGTGGCGTTGGAATCCCAAGAACAATGCTTTGGCATGCTTCAGGGTCTTCAAAAGGTTGTCTTCCAACGAGGCAGTTCCCTCAGTGGAAGTGAACCGTTGTAGGGGCCTATGAAGAGGGAGCTCGGAGGGAGGGTCGATCCCAAATTCGTTGATGACTCTTGGCTTTAAACTAGTCCTCCTGATCATCCTCCTCCTCCTTCTCCTCCTCCTCCTCCTCCTCCCGCTCCTCCCTCCTCCCATCCCTACCTCTGCCCTCCGCTTCTCTGTTTTCCGGCACATCCCGCACACGCTTCGTGGCCCATAGGGAGCTCCACCGAAGGCCCCAGTGGCGCCGCCCGCCACTCCTGCTTTGGCACACCCCTCACATGATTCGTGGCCCCATAGGGAACTTAACCGAAGGCCCCAATGGCGCCGCCCGCGTGCGGGCGCCACCCCCGTTGGGGCACACCCCTCACACGCTTCGTGGCCCCACAGGGAGCTCCACCTAGGTCCCACTGGCGTCGCCCACATATGGACGCCACCTCCGCTTCTGCACACTCCTCGCACGTTTCGCGGCTCCACAGGGAGCTCCACCGAAGGTCCCACTGGCGCCGCCCGCATGTGGGCGCCACTCCAATTTCGGCACACCCCTCACGCGTTTCGCGGCTCCACAGGGAGCTCCACCGAAGGCCCTAGCGACACAGCCCGCATGCGGGCGTTACCTCATAGGGAGTTCCACCTCAGACGGCACTCAAAATTGCTGTACTCACAACTGCGTATGGTTGGGTTCTTCGCCAGGCTAATTTCGCTTCAGATCGCCTCGAATAGGCTTCGAAGGCCCCAAACAGCCCGCGAGACATCCAAGACGGCCCCAAGACGGCATGGGAACCCTTCAAGACGGTCCAATATCACCCCAGGATGGCCCCAAGATGGCAACAAGATCCACACAGGCTGTCCCCAGATGATCCAGCTGAGCAGATTCACGAGAGCTCAATTTAACCATGGCGCCCAAGACTGCCCCGAGAAGCCACTGACAGACTCCGAAAGGCTCCTAACGGGGCCCCGAAGAAGACCCTCAGGAGGCCCCAAAGCAACCTCCAAGGAGCCTCAAGGATGCCGCCAAGAGGCAGGAGGGAGGAGAAGAAAGAGAAGGAAGGAGGAAGGAGAAGGAGGAGAACGAGGCTGTGGACAAGGAGGGGACGCTCACGACACGCGCCACCCCAGACAGGGTGCTGACACGGAGCGAGTCTCAAACTAAACCTCCTTCCTGCTGCAGTGCTGCGCTGGAACGGTGGCGGGGCTTGCCGCGGGCAGGGTGGATAGCCGAGGCTGCCGAAGCAGAACATCCAGGCGCCTGTTTCTTCCCCCCAGAACTCCGCGCTCTCATCGGAACCGTAGAGCCCAGGCATGAAGAGGATGGAGCCCACCGCGAAGATGAAGGCGGAGCCCATGAAGTGGAGGCTTTCCGCGGTCTCGTCCCTCTGGTACTCGTCGAGCGCGTCGGCTTTCCCCGCCGCCATGTTCTCAAGCACAGTCCACCCGGCCATGAAGAAGACCCCCAGGCTGGCAAGTATGAACAGCCAGTCGCCGATCTTGACCTGCAGGGTGTCCCCGAGGAACAGGAAGGAGCCGACCAGAAACATCGCGTTGAAGGTGAAGCTGAGGAACCCCAGCACGAAGTCGTGCCTCGCCTCCAGAGCCTCCTCGTCCTGCTCCTCCTTGACCGCGGCGAGTCCCAGGTAGGACGCTATCCTGTGGAACTCTATCTTCGGGCGCGTGGACACATGGCGAGACGGCATGCAGCGAACTGCGATGGTACGAACGAAGGAATAGACCGTGGTCGTGGAACCGGCTGCCTGCCGGTGCTCGCTCGAGCCAGAAGGCGCGCCACGGCAGGGCAAGTCTTGAGAAACCCGGCAAGGACCTCGCAGTGCGAGCTCTGTTGGGGGGAATATGTGCCGCCGTCGCAGTTGGCGATCGTGGCGATGCTGAAGGTGACCACGGCCGCGAAAACGATGATGACAATGAGGTTAAATGTACACAGCTCTCGAAGGAGCGGGTCTGGCCCTTGCCAGTAGGAATCGTTGCCGCCAGTGGGATCTGGCCGATGCTAGTGAGCGGTGTGCGGGGCAGTGCACCCCTCGCATAGGGCACCGCACACACATGGGTTTCCAAACACATTGTTACGCGCACACACACACACACATACTTTTGAGTCGGCGGCGCAGAAGGTCCTCATGCACAGGCAGCAGATGAAAATACGAATTGCGATCGAGCATCGTCGAAGGCACAGTGTACGAAGCGTCGCACCCTGAAAAGTGCAACAACGGGTGGTGTGAAAGAGGAACTGTAAGCCCAAACGAACCGTGCAGCGACAAGAAAACTGAGGAGGGGACTCAACTCCAAGTAAACTGAAGCTACACACACATGCGAACACATAGGGCTTAACACCCAGTGGCTTGCAAAGATAGGGTTCCACACACAGGGTTCTATACAGTGATTTCAGACATGGGGCTCCATACACGGGGTTCCACCCATTCTTGTTCTACAGATAAGTTCTACACATAGGGCTACACATGGTTCGATCTCACCCAGATTGACCGCAAATTCAACTGCAACGTGAAAGTCAATATTCAACCTGTAAAATCTAACGATTACTATATTTTCAATTCTGGCCCCTACGTCAACTCAACTCCGGATCCAGCTTTTAATTCGAGACGAACTGACTAAGAGAATGACGACGCATCCGATTACGATGGGAACCACATCTTGATAGGAATGAGCAACACGCCAGTGCAATGCTTGAACGGCTGGATGGTGCCACAAAAGGCCATGGCACATCGCACTCGCGCAAAGCATCGATGTTTTAAAGCAGTCTCCTTGACAGAGGCTTGAAAAGGCAGGAGAAGGCAACTGGCCAATGAGGCAACTGCGCCAGGCACAGGTATCTACTACTCCTCGCAGCCTCGCTCATCCCTGCCCCTCCCCTTCGCTCTCCCTATTCTCCTCCTCCTCCTGCTCCTCCTCCTCCTGCTCCTACTGCTCCTCCTACTCCTCCTACTCCTCCCTCCTTCATTTCCTTATCACCAAACTCATCCTCTTTTTGCCCCTTCCACCGCCCCAGGAAAGCAGGATCCTTGACTGCGAGGGTGAACTTGTGCAGTTCTTTTGCGAACTCCCCGCCCAAGTTCATGGTCGCCATCGTCTGGTGCCGGACTCTGTCGAGCAAATCCAGCCATCTGGCGTCGGAGGGATTTCGGAGGCTCCCTGGAAGAGGAGGGAGGTAAGGAGGCCGAGGAGGAGAAAGGGGAGGGACGGAGGGAGGGAGCGGAGGGGAGGGAGATAGGGGAGGGAGGGGAGGGAAGGGGAGGGGAAGGGAGTGGGGGCGGGAGGGGAAAAAGAGAGGGAGGGGAGGAGAGGGAGGGAGAGAGGAGGAGGAAAAGGAAGAGGAGGAGGAGGAAGAGGAAGGGGAAGAGAAACAGAATGAGAAAGAGGAGGAGAGGGAGAAGAAAGAGGAGGAGACTGAGGAGGAGGAGGAGGAGGAGGAGGTCCCCCGATGAGGAGCTGCAGCAGTATCAGCAGGAAAGGGAACGGCAGGGAAGTGGAGGCGAAAAAATTGAGAAACAGGCGAAAACGGACGACGACGACGACGACGACGACGATGACGACGACGAGGACGACGACGACGACGACGACGACGACGACGACAGACGAGGTCGAAGAGAAGGAAGCGCTGGAGGGAGACGCGCAGGAAGAGGCGTCAAGCTAGCCAGCTCGAACGAGCCACCGGGACCGCCCATCCACACCTTTCCGCCCATGACATATAGAGCAATCTTGCACAACTTGGCACTGAGACTGGTGCGCGTTCCCACCTGGCGACAACATGGAGAACATCGGACTTCACATCGGGCCGCACAGTTAATGCATCGCCCACCCGATCCTCGTCTGGCACCTTTTCTCGCCAGCAGCAACAAAGCCAGATGGTCCATGGGGGGAGCACCACGTAGACACAAGCGCCCTGATCGCCCATGTTTTCGACGAGGGCCCCCGGCGAAGACGTGTAACGCCCGCCCCTGGGTGAACAGGTCCGCGTGAAAAGATGCTTGGGGCCGGCAGCACGGGCCCTCTGGCGGGCTGTGCCAAGCCCAGGCAATTGAGCGACGCAGGGAGATTTGGAAAGGCTCAGCAAACACTACGGCACGCCGCGGCCCTTCAGATCTATAGCTGGCATGGCGCGCGCCTACCAAATTGAAGATCTCTGCACGGAGAGATCCGCCCGTCGTGGTTTACACATAATGGCCAAGGACAGTCAGTTCCAGGATGCTTCACGGCCCATGGGGCCTCCTCAAGCTCCACGGGCCGTGGGACAGCTGGATCGTCGCAGTTACCCCCTCAACGCTGATCTGGGACGTGCCTCCACCGAACTCGGGGGCAAAAAGGCATCGATACCGCTACTCCTCGGACCTATCTCAATGTGTTCTGACCAAATTTCAAAGCCAACAAAAATCCGGGCATGACGACGAGGACTCCCCAGGACGGGCAGCAATATCGGCATAATCTCCTCCTCTGCCGAACATGGGTGGTCCTGGAAGCTGGCCGTTCCGTGCGCGGCTACGCTTCCGACAGGGCCAGCCACGACAGGGCGCGCAGCCGCCGCGCCGACGGAATCCGTCGTCAAAGCCTCCGCCGCGAAGGCCTTCAAGGACGAGTTCTGAAGAGGGCGCCACTGCGGGGATGGCTTCCATCTCGCCACTGGTTCACGAACCCCGGACGCGCACCCCCGCCCGAAGCGCGGGAGCGCGCGTGGCCTACTCAAGCGAGATGACCTGAGCGGCTGCCGAGGCGCCAGGGCGTCTCTGCTCGCCCTCGCCCTCACCGCGCGGCCCTCCCACCTCCGACGAGCCACAGCAAGCCCACATGGGAACCCAGGCCTCCAGCGATATGCATTGTTCATCCAGCGGTTTGTTCCTCGATTCCTATCCTCGGGGGCCCGTACTGGACTCCAGCGCTATCAGAAACGGGTCCTGGACGCAAAACCTACAGCAGTAAAATGGACGGGACTACTGGGGCAGCGTACTGAAACAACGCACTGGTCATCATCATCATCATCATCATCATCATCATCATCATCATCATCATCATCATCATCATCATCACCATCACCATCACCATCATCAACATCATCATCATCATCATCAGCAGCACCATCATCACTAGCATCATCAAAACCCCCATCGTGATCCTCATCCTCATTCATCATCCTCATTATCATTATCATCATCACCGTCGTCGTCGCCATAATCACCATCACCATCACCATCACCGCAACCGCCACCGCCATGACCATTATCATCCTTATCGCCACCAACACCATCAGCATCATCATCATCACCATCACCATACTCATCATCACCACCACCACCACCTTCATCATCATCATCATCCGCATCGACACCATCATCATCATCATCATCATCATCATCATCATCATCATCGAGATCGCTATCACCATCACCATCATCATAATCATCATCGAAACCACCACCACCATCATCACCATTGCCATCACCATCACCATCTTCAGCATCACCATCACCAGCACCATCATCATCGTCAGCAGCACCATCAACATCATCATCATCATCATCATCATCATCATCAGCATCATCATCGTCATGCTCATCATTATGAGCAGGAGCAGCAGAAGCAGCAGCATCATCATATTCGTCGTCGTTATGATCATCAGAACTAGCAGCAGCAGCAGCATCAACATCATCATCAACGTCATCATCATCATCATCATCATCATCATCATCATCATCATCATCATCATCATCATCATCATCATCATCATCATTATCATCACCATCGCCATCGCCATCATCATCATCGCCACCGTCGTCATCATTACCATCACCAAGACCATCATCGCCATCACCACCACCGCCACAACCATGATCATCATCATCACCACCATCATCACCACCACAACCACAATCATCATCAGCATCATCATCACCATTAGCATCATCATCATCATCGCCATCATCACCACCACCACCATCATGATCACCAACATCGCCATCACCATCACCATTACCAGCAGCATCAGCATCGTCGTTACCACCAACATCACCATCATCACCATCGCCATCACCGTCATCACCATCATCATCACCATGACCATCAGCACCATTATCGTCATCATCACCATCATCATCGTCAGCAGCACCATCATCATCATCATCATCATCATCATCAGCATCATGATCATCGTCATGCTCATCAGTATGAGCAGGAGCAGCAGAAGCAGCAGCATCATCATATTCGTCGTCGTTATGAGCATCAGAACCAGCAGCAGCAGCATCAACATCATCATCATCATCGTCATCATCATCATTATCATCACCATCGCCATCATCATCATCATCATAATCATCGCCACCGTCGTCATCATTACCACCACCAAGATCATCATCATCGCCATCACCACCACCACCAAAACCATGATCATCATCATCATCACCACCATCATCACCACCACAACCACAACCATCATCATCATCATCGTCATCACCATCAGCATCATCATCATCGCCATCATCACCACCACCACCTCGTCACCACCAACATCGCCATCACCATCACCATTACCAGCAGCATCAGCATCGTCGTTACCACCAACATCACCATCATCACCATCGCCATCACCGCCACCCCCATCATCATCGCCATGACCATCAGCATCACTGTCGTCATCACCATCATCAACAACAGCATCATCATCAGGAGCATCACCGTCATCACCATCATCATCAGCATCATCATCATCATCATCACCATCGCCATCACCATCACCATCATCATAATTATCATCGAAGCCACCACCACCATCATCACCATTGCCACCACCATCACCATCGTCAGCATCACCATCACCGTCACCATCACCATCATCACCAGCGTCATCATCATCATCATCATCATCGTCATCCTCATCAGTATGAGCAGAAGCAGCAGCAGCAGCGTCGTTAGCATCATTTGAACCATCAGCAGCAGCAACAACATCATCATCAGTATTATCATCACGATCGCCATCATCAGCATCATCGCCGTCGTCGTCGTCATCCTCACCATCACCAAGATCATCACCATCACCAAGATCATCATCATCATCATCATCATCATCATCACCATCACCTCCACCGCAACAATCATGATCACCATCATCATCATCACCACTATCATCATCACCACCACAACCACAATCATCATCAGCACCATCATCACCATCATCGTCATCGCCACCACCATCATCATCATCATCATCATTATCATCACCAACATCGCCACCACCCTCACCATTACCATCAGCATCATCATCGTTGCCACCACCATCATCACCATCATCACCATCACCATCACCGTCACCACCATCATCATCACCATCACCATCACCATCACCATCAACATCACCATCATCATCACCATCATCAACATCATCATCAACATTAGCATCATCATCGTCAGTATCAGCATCGCCATTGTTATCACAATCACCATCACAATCACAATCATCATTATCATCCTCGTCATCTTCGTCACCGCCACCACCATCATCACCATCGCCACCATCATCACCACCACCATCGTAACCATCACCATCACCATCATCCAGATCATCATCAGCAGCATCATCGTCATTACCATCATCATCATCGACAGCATCTTCATCACCATGATCATCATCATCGTCGCCATCACCATCACCATCACCATCATCATCGTCAACAGCACCATCACCACCATCACCAACAGCATCACCGTTACCACCACCATCATCACCATCACCATCACCCTTATCATCATCATCGTCGTCATCGTCGTCGTCACCACTATCATACCCGTAATTATCAGCATCGAAAGCATCAGCATTACCATCATCATCAACAGCATCATCATCATCATCACTGTCATCATCAGCCGCAGCAACATTATTATCATCATCAGCATCATCATGATCAGCATCATTACCATCATCATCCTTACTACCATCGCCATCACCATCACCATCACCGCATCATCTCTAACACCATCATCAACACCATCGCCATGAGCGACATCGCCATCACCACCATCATCACCATCACCAAAGTAATCATCATTATGAAAACCACAATAATCATCAACAACATCATCAATATCACCATCACCATCACCATCACCGTCACCATCATCA